GTCATTGATTAATTCTTGTTGGGTGACTATTGAGCTAGTTTCTACTACTTTTAATTTTCTATTGACTAAGGAATTAATTAAATCTTGATCTCGACCCACCATATCGGCTAATGTGGATCCAGAAAAAGAATTCCTACTTGGTTGTAAAGATTTGTGTGACTGGGTTAACTCGTGTAAGTGGACACTAGATTTTCTGGCTAGAGGGTTAAAGTTGATTTTAACTGTTCCGTCAAAATAATGTTCTATGTTGTCTAGGTTGACTAAGCTATTTTGTATGCTTACTGGTTTTCTTTCATTAATTAAACACCAATATGAAGGTAGACTAATATCTAACCATTTGATAGTTCTAGGTATTTTGATGTTTGCATTTCTTGATTGGTTTGTATCAAGAGTGTGTGGTCTCTAGAACTTTTAACTAAGGCTTGGAAATTCATGTTTGTTCCTGTGACTTTGTAGTTTCACTAAAAATTAAAGCTAATGGTTGGACTCCTTTAAGTACTTGGTACCCTGAAGTTTTTATGTTTATTGTGAGTGTTTTCAACATGTGGGGATCTGAAAGACTTATTGTGAGATTTGGAAAACAATCAAAATGAATTGGCCCGTTGTAAAGACTTGAGTCAATCATTCCAAGAACACTATCATTTTGGAGACATAACAAAATAGAGGTATTGAGGTCTTTTCTTATTAAGGGCTTGACTGCTATTTGGACTAGACCTATGTGAATGTAATTGTAACCATCTTTTCTATGAGTTTTAATTTGTTCTGGTGTGAATAATTGATAAGTTTCATGTTCTTTACTAAGAGCATAAGCTTTTTCAACTGTTTTAACGTGATATTCACTTCTAAAAAAGGCTACTGATCATTTCTTTTTGTAAATGTTTTTACTAGAAACCTTGGGGATATTCCAATCTCCAAAGTCGACATTGTCATCTATTTGAAATTCTAATTTTTGTTCTTCATTTACTATGTCTAGAATTCTACTTAAACTAGATCTGGAGCTAGTGCTGGCCATTGAATTAGATCTAAATAACCTACTCATAATGCTCAAAATGCAGGGTTTTTAATATATAGAAATCTTACTGGCTTTACCTTCCTCGTTTATTTGCTAAACTCTCTCTCCGCTCATGCAATCCGATATTGCCAATCATATGGACTTATTGTTTGGAACACGCCTTACTGTTTGGGTTGAGAGCAAACAATCCTACTTAGAAAGTTAACAAATAAGATCAACTATAAATGAGAACTTGAATGATGAACATAATCTCTTATACCAAATGGGGCAGAATATCTAATGATAATAACGATGATTAGAATTGAAGCAAAGGCAATGATGATTAGAATTGAACCAAGGGCAATTATGAAGTAGAATTATGAAGTCAAAACAGGTGAAGTCTACAGAATCAGATCAGTCAAGTGGTGGGATAAATTTAACCATCAAAAGACCATCAATCAGGTCCTCACCAAATTTCCCATTACTCCACCTCCAGTCATTCCGACACAACCAGCACAGCTATCACTGCCAGTCATCCTGGAACAGTCATTATCGGACATTAGTCCATCCTCATCCCTTAAAGGAACAGTCAAGTCTTCCCAATCATCAGGCTCAAAGAAGAATAAAGCCACTCAACTCAAAGATTTAGCACAACAATTACTTGCAAAAGCAACGATGCTCCACACTAAAAAATAAGAAGTTTCAGACTCCGAATCTTCAGATGTGTCCTCACAGCAACCAACCAAGTCAACGAGTCAAAAAACACAGTCAACTAAGTGGGTCAACTACTAGGATTCCTAGGACCCATTTGCATAAAGTCATGTGAAAACTTCAGTCATCATGTCAAGTCACCATGTGAACACTAAGACAATTACCATGTGAAAATTCAGTTATCTTTCCAAAGTCACCATGTGAAGCATTCAGACAATATTTGCACCAATAATTCCAACAAAGCATGGAATTATTCAGTCAGCCAACACATTCCCACCAATGATTCTGATAAAGTTCGGAGTCATTCAATCATCCATATTCTACAGTGAAAGCAACAATTATTCCAATAAATTTCACTGTTCATCAATAGTGAAAGCAAGTCATTATTCATCAATAGTAAAAGCAAGTCATCCAAAACCTTTTTCCAAGTCGATAAGAAGTGGACTCCAGAAGAAGAAAAAAAAAAGTTTGGAATTTCCACAATTTCTTAGTAAAAACTTTCTATGAGTTCATACTGTACCCAAAGAAATCAAAATTGCGAACACTTTTAATTTTCAAATGTCAAGGATGCATGTGTGCACCAATATCCTTTTCATCAGTCATTTCTTATTTGCTGACTCAATCATCAGTAAATTAATTGTAAGTCTCAGTGTAAGTTTTGTAATAAAACTTATTTTCAATTTATATCTGCATCATTACTTTGGATTCATTATTTTCATTATGAATAATATTTTCATAACAACTAATTTTGAATGGTATAATTTCTTACACACAGTCAATTCATCAAGTACCGCTAGTTCAAAGTAAACACAGATCAATCATTTGTACTCATTTATAACAGCTGGTTTCATGGCATCTTTAATCCTGGTTATCCTCCACATCAAGTTTCCAATTATTCAATTAACAGTTCATTCAATTCTAATCATCATTACCTTTGGTTCAATTGCCATCATCGTTATTATCATTAGATATTTCGCCTCATTTGTTTTAAAATTGTTTTGAAAATATTTCAGTGTTTGGAATCCTGGTTCAGAAATATTTCATTGTTTATGTGCATCCTATATATATGTATATATATATATATATGTATGTATGCATATGGGATAGAGATTTATATAATAAAGGGTAAATTACCAAAATGGTCCTTGAGATTTGCATAACTCATCACTTTGGTCCCTGAGATTCCAAATCGATAAAAATGGTCCCTGAGATTGTCCACCATCCATCATTTTGGTCATTTCGTTAAAAACTCTGTTAAGTGTCCCGGAGCTCTTGGCTGGAAGTTTGGGCAATTTTTAAAGTTTCGTAACTCAATCGTTTCTTAACCAAATTCGACCCATAATATATCAAAATGAAGATAGGAAAGTTTAGAATAAGATTATACCTATTTCGAAGTCCAATAGTTGCCGAAGATTTCCGAAAAATAGTCTCAAAGTTGACTGGTCCGAGTGAAAACTTGAAAACTCGCTGGAAACTGGGTAAACTTTAAACGTTCATAACTTCTTCAATACTCAACGAAATCAAGTGATTCATAAACGAAAATCATAATTCTCGATGAGACGAAGATAATGGTACCTTTTTCGATGGATAACTCACCATGGTTTAGCCGGAAAACGGCTCAAAAGTGGCTATCTTGGTCTCAAGTTAGCCACTTTCGAGCCATTTTTTCCGCCAAACCACGACAATTTAACTGTCAAAAAAGGTACCATTTCCTTCTTCTCATCGAGAACTATGATTTTTGTTTTTGAATCACTTTATTTCGTTGCGTATTGAATAAGTTATGAACGTTTAAAGTTCACCTGGTTTCCGGCGAGTTTTCAAGTTTTCACTCGGACCAGTCAACTTTGAGGGTATTTTCCGGCAATTTTCCGCAACCATTGGGCTTCTAAATAGGTATAAGCTTATTCTACAAGAGACTCCGGGTTTTGCCTAAGGCGAGTAGCAGACTCTGGTTTCAGTGCACGTGTGGAAGGCAACTCTGTTTAGCCAGCAAGCATAGGAAATGAATCCCCCGGGGGAACTTACTATTAATGCTAATCCATTAGTTCTAGCTCGAAGTTTGCCCTTAGTTGTCTCGAAGTTAGCTGCTTGGCATGAGTAGCTTGGCTTGCTCATGCGGAAATAAAGTAACCAGGGAATTCATATACTAATCTTCTAATCTAGCTAGAGAAGTTTTTTAAGTAGATCGGGAGTTCAGGCAGATGTTAAATTAGGGTGAGCTTAACTATTCTAATCTACAAGCCACTTAGCTAAACGAAATCTTGAGTATCGACTGTCGTGTGAGTCTCGACCAATGTGTAGCTGCGGTTATAAGTAACGGCATTCTCAGTTAAAATAACAGGATTCAAGCTTGCTTGTGTGTACGTGCTTGTTATAAGTAGATGTAGATGTGAAGGTGCCTAAGGAACCGCCCTAAAATACGTTGTTAGAGGCGTTGGCTATTCGTAGATCTGTTATACAGGCGATTTAGCTACTTTCTTTCAACCCTGAGTAGGTGGTATTAGGTGAGGGGATACACGCAGTTCATTTTGATATATTATGGGTCGAATTTGGTTAAGAAACGATTGAGTTACGAATCTTTGAAAATTGCCCAAACTTCCAATCAAGAGCTCCATGACACTTAACGGAGTTTTTAACAGAAAGACCAAAATGATGGATGGTAGACAATCTCAGAGACCACTTTTATCGATTTGGAATCTCAGGGACCAAAATGATGAATTACGCGAGGAGTGTTGTTCGTAAGTTATGCAAAGGTTGTGCCAAAGTGTAAGTTGGCTTTCATATGCGAAGAATGTCATTGTGCGAAGAGTACTTTCACGAATTACGTGAAGAAAGCTAGTAGAGCATTCATAAGTTAGGCGAACGAAATGGAGGCTTTGGTAAATTTACCTTCAGTAAATTTGGCCTTGGAAAAATTGACTTCCACAAATTTGGCCTTAACAAGTGCTTAAAGTTTTAGCTTGCCTTAGAGAATATAATTTCATGGCCTCATGCGATTGAAAAACTCACTCTTCCCCTATTTTGCCTTAGAGAATATAACTGACTTGAGCGTCGGAGTATCTTTTGCAGGTACCCCTAGACGAGGCTTTGGAGAAAGACAATTCGTGGACGCCCCTTAATTCAACGAACATGAGGATTGCGGTCAACGAATCTATGGAGGTATTTCCTCGAGTAGGAAATTTCGCTTCAAAAAATACAAGGATGAATGCTTTTAACCAATTGCGCGAAAAGCCCTTTGCCCCGGTGTCAAGCATAGCAATAACAAGCCTGCTGCTCCCGCCCTCCCAAAGGGTCACTGTTGAGAATCTGAGTAGATAACAAGAGCTAACAGACTCCGAAACATGGACAAGCAATGCAACTGAAACAAAAATCCCCCAATGGTTAAACACGACATAGATTTCGCGTGGCCTCGGGTGGATACGGTGTTACATCAAGCTTATACCCTTGAAAAACTAGTTCTAATCTGGAAAGTAAAATTGAAAATCTCCCAACATAGAAGGGAATAAATTCCTCCGAGAATTGAAGCTTCATATTACTTGTTGTGATGGTCTGAAAATCATCTGGAATCTCAAGGAAATATTGTGAAGATTATTTGTAAATGAGTGCATCACGCCCAGGCCCGACGCCAATGTAATGGACGGGTACACCAACCAGTTCTTCTATCCTTTCCACGTACTGACGTGCGGCCTTTGGAAGGTCGGAGTAGTTTCTGACAGAAGAAATATCTGTCTTCCATCCGGGCAATACTTCGTATTCCACCTGAACATAGAAAAGCAGTAACTAACAACAAGATTAAACATGAACATTAGAAATCAAAATATAAGCAGGCGACGAAAATTCAGTAAAAACGTAACATCTAAATAGAGGGGAGAGGGGACGACATGCCTTTAGTTGCTCAAGATCACGAAGGTCTGCAGGGAACGTTTTGATAGGGGTACCATCAATCTGTTTGTAGGCAACACCCAACTGAATTTCGGGAAGATCAGACAAAACATCAAGTTTGGTGAGATTGAGAGAAGAAAAGCCATTAATCTGACAGCAATACTTCAGTGCTGCTATATCAAGCCAACCACAACGACGAGGGCGGCCAGTAGTTGTGCCAAACTCCTGACCAGCAAACCTAAGGAGGTCACCCCCATGACCCAAGATTTCTGTGGGAAAAGGACCGGAACCAACTCTTGTAGTGTACGCTTTCACCTGCAGAGACAAAATTCAAGTTAGCAACATACACCACCACCTCAATTGGCCTTTGTACAATTCCATTAGTGAAGCAAAATATATAGGCAAGAAGAAAATAACTAGAAACAATAATGTAAAAAACCTATATACTGTAACCCGAAAAAATAAAACTATATTCAGGCCAAGGGTGACAATGACTACACCAGTCAAATGAAAATGAAATTCTGCAACTACAAGAGTAACATCTACTTACCACTCCAACCAGATCACCTAAAACTCTGGGAGCAATTCCGAGACCAGTGCAAATCCCACCGGCTGACGGGCTAGAGGATGTTACAAAGGGGTAAGTTCCAAAGTCAATATCCAACATTGTTGCTTGACCCCCTTCGACCAAAATATTTTTCTTCTCAGAGATGGCTTCATTCACAACAAGCACAGTATCAGCAATGAAGGGTTCCAATCTCTCAGCAAATCTCTTGTACTTTTCAACCTCTTCTTTGAGCACATGGGGGCCATACTCAAAACCTCGGAATCTTGATGCAACGTCTGATAATAGAAGATCTAGCTTCTGAGGAAAAGTATCCATGTGCCTCAAGTCACTCACTCGAATTCCATTTCGGATAACCTTGTTAGAGTAACAAGGTCCAATACCTCTCTTGGTAGTGCCAATGAAAGATTTAGCAAGCTCAGATTCTCGAAGTCCATCCACTACTTGGTGAAAATCAAATAACAGGTGAGCACGATCAGAGACCAATATTCTTCCCTTGCAGGAGACTCCATTAGATTGAAGGCCATCAATCTCTTTAAAGAGCCCTGGAAGATGCACCACAACTCCGTTCCCAATAACACAAAGAGTTTCTTCATTAAGAATACCCGAGGGAACAAGGTGAAGTGCAAACTTCTTTCCCTCTGCATTGTAAATGGTGTGTCCAGCATTAGCTCCACCCTGAGAAGATAATAAAACTCATGAGAAAACAGCAAAATGTGGCTACACAAGTGCAAGATTTTCTGTTACCTGACAACGAGCAACAATGTCAAAGTGCTGGGCCAAGATGTCGACAAGTTTTCCTTTACCTTCATCACCCCATTGGCAGCCCAACACCCCGGAGACCTGGGTCAGTGACTCAATTCGATTAATCCCCTGGTTGGGGGACCCGTCAACACTTAGAGGCGATGGGGTGGCAATTGAGGGCTTCACCGAGCATACGACGGCATTTCTCAAGCGCTGGAGGAGAATCGGCCTGTGGTGGTGGGGGCCAAAGGAGCGGGGGCTGGCGAGTGGACTGGAGTCCAGGGCTCTCAAAGAAGAGAGGTTGTTCATGGTGAACCCCTGAAGTGAAAAAGAAAATGTTTAATTAAAGAGACTCATCTCAGCTGTAATTTATAACCTGCCCCTTTCAGTTTAAACTTTAAAGGATGATTTTCTTTAATCCTAGTTCTTGTCAATCAGTGACGAGTAATAATACATACAGACAGACAGTAAAGTCGAAACCCTTTCCAAGCAGATGCTAAAAATACAAAAAGATGTTAAGCTTAAAGACCTCGATATCCAGCTTCGAATAGTTAGCAAGTATCTGCAAAACCTTCCCTTATATGCTACAAATTCTGACCTTAGCTTAGGAGCAATGGAATTTGATTATAATTATTCAGACTACAACAATACCCGTTAACACATCCGAAATTCTTTAAGCCGCGCGATATTGCTCAATATATCATGGAGTATTAATCAATCAGATAACCACAATCAAGACAACAAAAATAAAAACAAAAGCAAAAATTCCATGCTGAAATTAGAAGAGAAATTTCATTTCTGCTGTAACGAAATTGACATTAGAATCAAGCAACCAAGTTAACAAATACGAATTTATAATGAATCTGTGAAATCAAATAGTTAATCCCTATACAGCACCACTGCAAATAGCATAAGAAAATCGAAATTAACCCTAAGGAAATTGGGAGAGAAGAATCTGAAAAGGGGAATACCTTTTGGCCCTTTGAATTACTGAAGGAAAACCCAACAGAGGAAAAGCCACCAACTCCAAGACTGTTCTGGGATGTTGAAGAGAGAGAGAGAGAGAGAGAGAGAGAGAGAGAGAAAATCAGAAGAAATAAAGCAAGAGAAGCAAAAGGAGAAAGAAGCAGCAGCAAAAGAGAAGCAGAGGAAGAAGAGGGGGAAATGGAGAGGCGGGCTTGGCACTGAAGAATAACCTTTCATATCCCTAGGACTCCAGGTCAGCGTCAACCGCAACCACTCAAAATATAGCACGTGGAAATTGTATTTTCAAATTAAATTAAAACTCAAAGGTTTGTCTCAAAATCACAATGGTTTGTCTTGTATAGCCTCCAATCGAAATAGCTAAATATAGTTTCATTCAGAATTATAGTTCTACAAAAAATTATTTTTAAATGATCAGTTTCAGGTCATATTCATATACAATCTCTAACTGAATGGGCTAAACATAATCCCCTCAATAATTTATTAGTTTTAACTTTATATTTTAAATTTATTGGTTAATAATTAAACTACCGTTGGATATTTTCAAATTTAGTCATTGAGTTTAAATCAATTATTATAACTGAGAAGATGTGCCCCAAAAAAAGGGCTAAGAGGAGAGCTACATTTGGCCAAATAATAGTATGGTAGGCTCCATAGAATTATAACCCAGTCATCAATTGGAGAGAATTTTTTTTGACAAATCAGGTCATTTTTGGCTCTTTGACATTTAGCTCTTTCCATTGGAGATGGCCTTAATAAGGGCTGGTTTGAGATTGTGGTTTTTTTTTTTTAGTACTGAGTGATGAGATTGTGGTGTTTTAAAAAAGAAAACATTTTGAATAAAAAAATTGGAACATCAAATGTCACATCTCGGGCTCAATTTCGTTGTAGCACGATATTGTCCATTTTAGGCCCCGACCACGCCCTCACGGTATTGTTTCTAGGAACTCACACGAGAACTTCTCAGTGGGTCACCCATCATGCTCTCGCGCAAACTCGCTTAACTTCAGAGTTCCGATGGAACCCGTAACCAGTAAGCTCCCAAAAGGCCTCGTGCTAGGTAGAGATAAGAATATACATATAAGGCTTACAAGATCAACACGGGCCCCCACCACATCCCAAGCTCAGATCCACCATAGCACAATATTGTCCGCTTTGGGCCCTGACCACGCCCTCATGGTTTTGTTTCTGGGAACTCACGCGAGTAAAACTTCCCAATGGGTCACCCATCCTAAGAATGCTCTGGTCCATTCTCACTTAACTTCGAAGTTCCTACGGAACCCAAAGCTAGTGAGCTCTCAAAATGTCTTATGCTAGGTAGAAATGAGAATATACATATAAGGCTTACATGATCCACTCTCCTGGGTGATGTGGGATGTTACATCAAACGTGTTTAGTAAAACAAAAAAAGTTCTTCTAAACATAAATAAATAACTGTTGTCAATGATAATAGAAAAATAGAAGCAATGTCTTCCGCAAAGCATAGTAATCAGTGTCTAATTAATTAATTTTCAAATAACAAGTATACTCTCATATATTTTACAAAATTATAATCATTGCTCTTACATTATTCTTATCAACAGTTATTTATCACATTAAACACATTTTTAGTCATTTAACATATTCACATCAATTTATATAAAAGTTTACCAAATACTCAGACACTCTTTTTTTTTTAAAAGCACTTTTACAAAATAAAATAAAGAGTTTACAAAACATTCAACAACTTTATTTTACAACTGTTTATTCTCACAACACAGTAGAATCAGTATTTTTTAAAAGCAAAGTAATGCCAAACTAGGGGTTAATTACACTAACACTCCCTCAGGTTTATCATGTTTTTACAAAACACCCTCACGTTTGAAATATAACACTAACACCCTTTGAGGTTCTAGTTTACTTTCACATAACCCCTTTAAGGCTGACATCACCTTAAAATATTTTCTTAAAGACAAATTTGCCCTCATTTTTAATTAATTTAAAAAAATAAATAAATAACCTTTTTAAGAATCAACATAGGGTTTAGGGCCTCCCTTCCGCTTTTTTGCCACAACATAATGAAAATTCTTAACATGCTTCACCTTCTCCCTAGCCGTCCTCACAAGAAGCTACTCCTTCGTCTCAATTTTTTTATCAATTAGCCTCTCCACAAGCTTGGCCTCACACTCCGCCATAAAAAATATGAAAACCACCAAATTCCTAAGAATCTTCCTCACGAAATGCAAGTTGTCGTTGGAAACCTTGAACTTTTTTATGCCAAATTCTGGAGAAAATCTGAGTCCATGGTAGAGGAAGAAAGATAACAATGTTTCTTTAATTTTCTTTTTATTCTTTTTTATTGTTTAATGTAAGATTTTTATTTGGATTTTTATTCTATTTATTCAAGGGGTTTTTTATTTTTTAAAAATATAATTAATAACAAGGGCAAATTTGCCCTAAAGGGGTAACTAAAACTTCAAAGAGTGTTAGTGTTATATAAACGTAAGGGGGTTTTACCCGCCAAACTAACCATAAATTACGGGACTCATCTCTACTAATTAATAAAACACTCATTGTCAACCAAAATCCTATGAAACTACCAATTTAACCCTCTAATAAAAACAAAACATGAATAAGAAATATGGGGCAGAAATGTAATTTCATACAACCAAATTTTGCTCTTTTTTTTTTCAAATCCTCACCTAATCCTAACATATCTCTAATTAAAAAAATAAAAAATATTCCCTCTCTCACATTCTCTATCACTCTCTTCCTCTCTCCTTCTATTTCAAAAACAAAAATAAAAAATTTAGGTAAATTACACAAAACTACCTCAACTATTGGTCTCATGACACTTTTATACCTCATCTTTTAAAATTGACAATGTCATACCTCATCTTTAGAATTTGGTCAATTTTATACCTTTCGTTAGCCTAACTGTTAATTTGTCAGTTAAATGCTGACGTGGCTTGATCCAAACCCCACTTTCTATTAAAAAAGTAAAAAAATATTAAAAAAATCATTTAATATATTTTAAATATTAAAATAACAAAGAAAAGTGAAAAAAAAAAATTCAAACCCCAATTCGTCTCCACCCCACCCCCTTTCTCTCCTCCCCCATCTTCTTCCCCTGCTGCCCAGAAACGAAACGAAAAAAATAAAAAATAAAAAATTCAAAACCCAATTCGTCCCCACCCCACCCCCTCTCTCTCCTCCCCCATTTTCTTTCCCTCCTCCCCCATCTTCTTCCCCTGCAGCCCAGAAACGAAACGAAAAAAAAATAAAAATTCAAAACCCAATTCGTCCCCACCCCACCCCCCTTTCTCTCCTCCCCCATCTTCTTCCCCTGCTGCCCAGAAACGAAACGAAAAAAAAAAAAACTAAAAATCAAAACCCAGTTCGTCCCCACCCGAGACTTGGGCTTGCACACCCATGGCTCACCAAACCTGGGTTGGATGTCCTCTGGGTGCCCCGGAGCTTCACGGAGACGAAAGGAGAGAGGATTGACGCCAATGATGGTTTTGGTACTGTCGTCGATGGGTGTGGGTGTGTAAATGGGTGCGTGAGTGTAGATCTAAGAGAGAGGTATAGTCTGTGAGAGAGAGAGGGGGAGAAAGAATGAGTGAGCTGAGAGAGAGGGAGATGTTGGCATGGGTGGGGAAGGTTGGGGGGTAGCACGGAAGGGGAATGGGAAGGGGTCGGAGAGGGGGGAGATGGAAATGGGTTCTGGGATGCAGAGAAGAGAGAGAGGCGAGAGAGATGGGGAGAGAGAGAGATTTAATATAAAAAAATAAAAATTAATTTTAATTATTAAAAATATATTTAATAATTTTTTAATCCAGCTGGATAAGTAAATGGGTCTTGCCTCTAGCCACATCAGCACTTAACAGAAAAACTAACGGAGGTATGACATTGGCATTAATGTTTAAGATGATGTATGACATTGTCATTTTTAAAAGATTAGGTATGAAAGTGTCGTGACACTCATAATTGAGGTATGAAAGTGTCGTGACACCCATATACTAGTATAGTATGTAAAAAGTATGTGTGTTTATTTTATAAGTGTCAATTTTCCTATGATAATACGATGAGAGAGGCCTATTACAAAATTTTTAAATTAAATTTTCTTTTATTTAGTAATATGTAAAAATGCACATTTTATTTTATGTTTTTACTATAAGTGATTAAAAAAGGTTGAACTCAGAATGTAATGGGTTGAAAACCACTAGGATAATCCACAACATGGGTAACAATGCATATCAGTGTATATTTTTTAACAATGATAAATTGTGTATAAAAATTTTGTGTGTACATGTGTATCGTACAATACCCGTATAATATGTTTTATTTATTTGCTAGAAGACTAAAAACCCACAACCGTATGCTTTTAAGACTAACTACGGTTCACATCAAGTTTGTAATGATTTAAAAAAAAGATATATAAAGTTTTAATGCACCTTAAGATATTGAAATTATATTAAATTGTATCTTCGGTCTTGATTGATTATATAATTATTTATTAAAATTGATGACATAGTGTTTGGGCCCAAAATAATAGTTTGGGCCGAAGGTAGGATCATCCTCGGCCCGGGAGGCCGTGCGGCGAGAGGGCCATGGATCGTTCAACTCGTGGGCTTCCAAGCCTAGGTCGGATAGATCATAACGCAAGTCGAGTCCTAGTACAATGAGGAGTCTCGGTGGGATCAGTAACCCAGAAAGTGACTCCGGCTCAGTTAAGGACTAGGTTCACAATCCTAGTGAAGATAGGACTGGTCGAGGTGGTGTTGATCCGGAGAGGAAGACCTAGTCCGAGTAGGATTTTAACTCGGATTCAAGATACAGCGCTATAAATAGGGGAAGCTGTGCGTCAGAGAAGGCCCTCTGCAAATCAATACAAAATTGCCCTGCGCAAATTCTCACAATTTGTGATTTTTCTTTTTCCTTGTTCGCTGACACATCTTCCGTTGGCATCAACAGCACTGTGGAAGCAACCGGTGATATCTTAAGTCGGCATAGATAGCTCTATCACCGTAGAATCAGTCGGTCTCGCAATATCTTCCGTTGGCATCAACAGCGCTGCAGCGAGAACGATTGATTACCTATCCAAGTCTCGGTCGAGAAGGATTTCTGAATCCTTGTTGGTCGAGGTCATCTCATCAGCCTTCTCGACGAAGTGAGGTGTTACAAGTGATTACAT